AGAAGCGGCTGCTGCTGAAGGGGATCCTGGGGCTGCCATTGCAGATGCTCAGGGCGCTGCGGGAGAAGATGGAAGAGCTGCTTATAGTCCTGTGGCACCGCTCGCAGTTCTGACGATAGCCCCCATAGCGGCAAGCAGAGTAGCTCGTACAGCCAGAGAGCCCCACCAAGTCCATCAGGACCGCTTCCGAGTAGCTGGGGACCAGCTGCTGGTTGGATCGGATGTGCCACTCCAGCTCAGTGCTGTCCACTGTGTTGACACGGGGCATCCTCCGGCAGAAGGAGCGCTCCTCGGCTGGTGTCACCGCCACATAGTCAAACCCAAAGAGTTTCTCCACATGGTAGTGGACGTAAGAGGTGCGATACTCATTTAGCACCCGCAGAGGCCAGGATAGGGTCAGCAGGGCAGCCACCCAAAAGACATAGTGGGATACATACCAAGGCAGGTTGTCTGGGTCAGAAAAGGCCACCATATATTCCTTGAAGTCCACGTTTTTCAGGTGCATCCCCTCCCTGGCCTCCATGTAGTCATCCAGGCCCTCATTCTCTGTGAAGAAGCGGGCCCGCTGGGTCAAGTATGAGTTCTCTGATTCCACATTGGCAAAACTGAAACACTTGGTGAAGCGGAGTCGCGTGGCCGGGTAGCTCTCTAAGTCAATGAGGTCCTTGGAGATGTCCTTAACTCCACAATTGGAATAGTCAAACTCGGCCTCTGCCACATGGGTGTTGACCCGCTCATGATACACTTGGGTTGTGGTGTAGGCATCCCCATTGCGATAGCGGGTAACCTGTCGGGTCCTCCGGACGTAGTGGTAGCTGATGGCTTTCCACCAGATGCAGGGGGTTGCCTGCTGCATCCGCTGGACACGCTCGTGCACACTCTCCACATCTACCTTGTATTGCAGCTCGTTGCGCGTGTAGCAGTGCCAGCACTCCACCAGGTATACCACGTAGAGCATCACCAGGAAGGCCAAGGGGATGTAGACATAGCCGTTGGAGCATGGGCTGTCATGGTACATCATGGACTTGCCCTTGTAAGCGCTGTCAAAGGTCAGACGGGTCACCTTGGTGACGTGGCACCAGGTCATGGCTCCCATGCAGCCGTACATGAGGAGTGACAGCAGAAGGCATTTCCAGTGGGACTCTCGGCACAGGGACTTGCTGAGGGATTGCTTCACTGGACGTTGCTGCTCCAGAGAACCAGGGAGAAGGAGAGAGAAAGCAAGAGAAGTCAGTAGCCTGCAGCAGAAAGGGGAAGGCAAGCAGGGGAAAAGGTAGCATCTATAGCTCCCCAAATGGAGAACAGGACAGCAGAACTTGTTGGACTCCTAAACTCAGCCAGCAGGCTGGAGGCCAAGGTCTCTCCTGAGATGACAGTCCCACAGAGAGGGTTGCTGTCTCCTTCCCTCTTTGCCAAAGGCACCACATTCCCCTTGCTGTGCTCAGTCCCTCCCGGATTGCTATCAACAGCAACATGCAAGTTTGTCCTACCAGGACAGCAGAAGGGGCCTGGGGTGCATATGAAAATGGAGAGATCTCCAGCAGCTGGGTAGGCCTCTGTTTCACAATGGTGATGTCCACAGCAACATTCAGCAGCCCAAAGGACTCTTGGAGTGCTTGTAAAGTGCTTTATAAACCACAGAAACAGGAAAACGCTTTTCCATAACTAAAATGCAGTCACCTCTTGTATGAGAGAAAGCAAATATCGAATAACATCCTAAAAGGTGTTCAGATTGGAAGTGAAAAACACTCTTCATCTGCAAAAAATGCAGAGAGGCAGTAGGCAAGGCATGGCTGGTGGCAAATGTAATTGGTTTCAAGTGGGATTTAAGTGTGAAAAGCTGGTCTTGAAGGAAAACTGGTCTGAGGTCTTTAGTAGCAGACCATCTGCAGAACATCTGCAATAGGACTGCCCTAAGACACTGTACCAATGTGTTCACTACATAAACCATGCAGGGTTTGATAAAGACCTTGAAAAATCCTGCTTAAGGAAGTCTCTCTCACATTCTGCTACAGCATAGAATCTCAAATATTGATCCAGTATTTGCCTGTTTGGTCAGTGAGACCCGACATTATCAAACCCAAAGGGAGAAGAATACAAAGAGGTTATTTGCTTTCTTGGACAAGTGACAACATAAACTTTATGCAACAAGTGTGTCATCCAGCACAGAGATCTCCAATGGTATGTCCTGAGAGAAGAGGCCAGAACCCCAGGCTTCTGCAGCTGCCACAAAATTCACTGAGCTTTGCTTTCTTTCTCCAACAGCATGCAGCATGGGATCAGGCATGCCTTTCTTTCTGGGATGTCTTATGTCCTGAACTCATTTATCCTCTGGAAGTCAATGCCTCAACACATCAGAGGCTGTATTGCCTTTGTCTGAGCCCACTTCTCCATTTGCAGGGACTTAAGGCAGCTGTAATGATGCTGCTCGTGGCCCCATCTCTCCTTCGTACATGAACGTACCTGGCTGGAGAGCCAGCTGGCTCAGTGCAGGTACACGACAGGGCAGCAGGAGCCTGACACATTGCTCTGAGTACTGAGAACTTCCTGGAGCTGATGGATTAAAACCTCTGGGTCATGTAGCCCCTGATTCTGGCCTGGGACAGGACTCCTGTCTCTCAACAGGTTCTGTCATTCTTTCTGCCGGTTTCCCTAGGACCAAGAAGTCAAGAGCTCCACAAAGCTTCCTGTGCATACTAACAGCTGCCAACTGGGTGAGCCCCTGGCAAAGATAGCGCTGTGTAATCTCCAGAAAGGGAAAATAGTCCCTCACACTCCTAGATGTCAGGGATCACTCCATCACGCCTAGGCAAAAAAAAAAAAAAAAAAAGTCTCATTTTTTTCCCTCTCTGTCACTTCCTACTACTCTCTTCAGTTACTCTCCCTTCCTTCTTTATTTAAGTGCAGATGAAGGGCTGAGGTGCCCTGTCAACCCAGTGCAATTAAAGCAGGCAGGGAAATCTCCAGAGGTGGCTACATTTCAGTGGCTACTGAACAATGCTTCCCCATTCCAAACTTCTTCCAGATAATCCTACTCCCTTGCTTCTGTTTTCTCTCTGTAGTTCCTAGGACCGCTGGGCTGGGCTGGGACCAGGCTCTTTGATGTGTTACTTGCTGTGCAAACAAGCAAAGATGTGACAAGAAGCAGATCCACAGAGACTGCGGAGACCAGGAAATGCTAGACCTCAGGTTGGCATATCTGGACTGAGTAGCACCACAGCTCCTGCAGATGCTGCTATTATTTCTCAGGGTCCCTGGGAGATATAATCTACAAGCAGTTGTATGAATTTAGGTTTCTCAAACAAAGCCTGCTTGCCCATTTCATCTGGGCTCTGTGGGCTGCCCAGCACAGGCACAGCCCCACTGCTCCCCAGACCACGAGACCTCTGAAATCTTTTACCCATTCAAGGATCCCAGAGTGCTTAATGGATTCATGATGCCAGAGAGAGGGATCATTTTCATTTGCTGCAGGAAAAGGAGAATTAAAGACGGAACCACAGGTGACAAATCTGCTGGCAGGTCTAGGAACAGATCTAGACCTCCTCTTCTCCAAGTACTCCCTGCTCTTCTCTGTGGGTTGCTCCCCTAGAGCCCTACGTGCTCATCTTTCCTCCCTGCACCTTGCCAAAGCTTGGGCCTCCCCATGCCAGTAGGACTTCTGCCACTGTGATTAGCAGGACTGGATCTGGCCCAAATCTCTGACAGAGGTTTACCTCTTGCAGGCAGTGAGCTTCCCCTTCTCCCATCCCCAGCAGCCAGCCTTTGATGAGCGGAGCACACAGCCATGTGCAGACAGCACATCAAAGGGGACCGCTGCCGAGGGGTCTGGCAGCAAGGGGAAAGATGGCACATCCCCGTGGGGTCCCAAGCATCAAGAGTGCTGAGCCATCCCTCATCTAAGGCAACGAGCTGACAGCAAGAGCTGTCAGAGAGCAGAGACACAGAGCCCAGAAAAGGCACCTGGGGTGGTGCTGGTCTCCAGGCAACAGGGAGAGGTGCAGGATGGCTCTGCCCTGGGAGCTTCACTGCTGGCGTGAACAGCACAAGGTCTTCCCTGTGCCCCACGGCTGCAGCAGCATCGTACCTGAGGTCATGGGAGAGGAGGGAACCCGAGGGAGGAGAAACGGGAGCAGGGAAGGGAAGGGGAGATAGCAAGTGGAAAAGGCTGTGCGAGCTGCATCCAGCTTCCCAGCTCAGGCCTGTACTGCAGTTACACGGGTCTCTCTGATGCCCCCGTGCTTTGCTCCCCTGCCCCAATGCAGCAAGGCTCTCCTGCACTGCACTGCTGTGCCACTATGGAGGCTGCTGAAGGTTTTCCCCCACAAAGCGGCCTTCTGCACTGCCCCTCTTTCCCAGCAGCAGCATGAGGCTCTTTGCTTGGCATGAGGCTCTTTT